GATGAAAAGAAAATCATCAACCCGTAGTGCTGTTTCATCGATAGTCGCTGCAGGGACATGAATCAGAACATCAGCAATGGTGTCCGTAATTTCGAAGAGCTTTTGAGTGATGCTGCTTCCATGTACTTCGATATCTTGGCGCGACATGCTGGATAGTTGTTGCCGTAACGTCTGTGACAGTCGTACTGGAAACAAGAGCGATAGACACTCTTTCGATGATCGGGAAGATAGGAGGGTCTGGCTCATAGCTAAGCGCCAGACCAAAGTGCGCAGCCACTCACGGGTGATGCATAAATCGGCCCGTTGCATCATCGACAACATGGCCAGCTCTCGGGCATCGGCTTCAGGATCGCCTTCAAGCTCGCGCGATTTGGCCTCAACCCAGGTACTAGTTACGCTACCTCCTTGGGAATCAAGCCAACTATCTAGAAATTCCGTGTCGAGCATGCGAAAAAGCTTAATGATTTGGTTGAAACCCTCGTGAATTTGTATCGGAAGGGTGGGATCGTCTTCAGGCAGTGTGAAGAGCGGGGGCAGAATAGCTCGTCGGTAGTCTAAAATAGCTAGAAATCGCTCATGGATGTACGCTTGCCAGTACAGCCGCTGTCTTCGCGATCGCTCGGGAGGGGATAGCTGTGCCACATTTTCCGGGTTGTCTATCCGCAGAAGCTGAATGATCGTGATGGCGTCTCGCATGTAATAAAACGCGCTGTCGCTAGCTGACAGACTCATGAGGCAGTTGTGAATGAACATCGACTGGACAGCTCGCATGACAGACACTTGACAATGTTTGTGTGTTCGCCTCATGGTGTCGATCGAGTAGTCCATGAGGCTCTCGATGGTTTGAACGACTTCGTCTGTTCTTTGGTCACCGTAACGCGTAAGATTCAGCGTGCAAGCGCCAAAAGCGAAGACGAACGAGCGGACATCTGGATCGTTGTCCATGACCTCGATGTACTGTCGAAGCTCATATTCGGCAATGACCGGATGTACGGGATACACTCCATCGACATAATCTGGAATAAGGTCGAGGAAATAAGCTTTGGTGTACTGTGATGCAGATGATGGCGAGGGAAATGCTGCCCTGAGTCAGCAGCAGCATTTTTTCATTGGGGTTGAAGTCACCAGCGCGACATACTCGGCGTGCCTCCATTACGGTCAACTATCGGCGAGACGGGGCTGTACGGTGTCTGGAAGCTGGACGTCCCGGAATGAGCTGGCAGTATTGGAGGCGATATCGTTGGCAGGGTGGAGGTCTGGTTTCTGAACTCTGAGATAATATGGCCTCTCTTGCCCTGAGACCTTTGCTTGCCGGACGGTGAGTAGATGCACCGCAAACCGAGATGTGCGCATTGTTGACAACGCGTTTGGCCATTACACCGCACCTTCCTCCTTTTGCACGCGTCGCACGCTTTCGATACTCGTTTTTGAGATGGCTGCTCCATGGTAATGGTTCCTGTTGCGTGCATGATAATTTTGTAGAACCAGGAGCCTCGGAGTCGGGATGATCAGGCGATCTGGGGAAGGCTTGCGGAGACGCGCTAACGGAGCGTAGTTCCTAATTGGTTCGCCCGCAGAATGGGTTTGCTCGACCCGCGAAACAGGCAGGTGCGAGTGGTATGGAAGTCGTGCCGAATAGTCTAGAAACGCGTACCTGAGCCGTAAGGATGAAATGTGGGGTACATGCACTTGGGGTAGATGCATGACAGCTTGTAATGTCCTCGGAGGCGTAAGCTTACCTACATGTGATGGCATGCATAGTTTCGAGAAAATCACTTTGCAGGAGAATGCATTGACTAACTACGCCCGAACCGGGAGGAAACGCTGCCGAGCGTACCAGGCATGCAACGGCCAGGAGGTATCCCTGCACAACTACAGCTCAAGTGAACACTAGTAATGCTGGCTTGGAAAATCCGTTGCTCGTAAATTATCCTTGTCTAAGAGGGATACTCTTTTGCGCGCGACTTGAGTAACTTGATTCCTGACCCTTTTCTGCGGACAAAATGCGGATATGGAGTTGCTGTGGTGCAGTTTCGGCTTGAGATCGAAAAGAGTTGCCCACCTCCATAATCTTTGGACGACCGAAACCCCTCCATGGTTTCATCGCTCAGAACTGACTTGACCGAACATTTGTCAGCTTGAGGCTTGATAAACAGTAAAATTGCGGAAGGAGGATGTCGAAGCAGTCAAGCGGCAACTACTTCATTTACAAACCATATCTGCCTGGCCCGGAATCACGAGACGCGCAGAATGCACACCAGCAAATGATAACAGATATAAGCACTCCAGAATCAGATCAAGCAGCGAGTGCAAATAAGCAATGTTGACCATGACTTCCCTCCACGTGTATCACCTAGGCATGGCAACAGCGTGGGAAAAGCATTGAGAATGAGCTTGAACAATTGACTCCGGAAGGGAAAAGAAGCCTATGGAATTGCAATCGCCTTCTGCCAGCAACGATCGTGATTCCTACTGCTGCCATCATAAACGCCGTCCCATCCTTCCTGCCATAGATGTCCTGTTAACGCCTTACATGCATTCATCCTACCATGTACAGCCTGGATCCACCCTAAGGAGTTACAAAATCCCCCAGCAAGATCCGCCGAAATGTCCCTAATTAAACCTCTGAGAAAGCTCCGGAGTACCGCTATCACCGTACATGGATTCATTCTCGGCCTGCTCTTTCGCCTGGAGGTACTGGTACTTTAGACGAGCGGCCTTGAGCTCAGCCTCCGCAACTTCCAACTCAGCCTGTAGCTTCTGAACCGCGACAGGCTCGTTGGATGTATCGGCGGTCTCAACGGGGTAGATGCGCCCTCCCTGTGGACCAGGAGAAACGGAGAAGGCAGGAGTCGGATGGGGAAGAAGAGAACGACCGCCGGAAGAGCTGATGAAATCTTCATCGTCGGTGAGAATGGTTCGAGTAGGACGACGAATGGCGGAGTGGCGACCTTCAGGAGTGGCGCTGGTGCGAGTGGAGCGACTGCGCTTGTTGGCGTATTTGTCGTAACGTTGGAAGCCGCCAGACGGCGAGCGGCGGAGACGGCCAGGTGCCTCTGTTCAGTGTCAACAATCTGGTCTCACATTCGATGATTCGCAATGAACAACTGAACATTTGTTGGATCGTTCATGATATGCCAGAAGGGCCGACTTACTTTTGCGGCGCTTCTCCACAACGCGTGCCTCGTAGAGCTCGTGGTTGCCGCGTCGCTTCTTGGATCCCTTGGGTTGATCTGGCTCTACAAGTTCCTCGAAGTAATCGTCTTCAGAAGACTCCTCTGTTGACTCCTCCTTGTCGACTTGAATGAGGCGCTCTGGGTGCTCATAATCAAGCTTGAGCTCCTTGATATCGGCTAGACGGCACCACGGATGCTTAGGTTCATGAAGAGCGACTTTTGCGCGCAGATCGACTTGGAATTGATCTAGGTTGCCGTTCTTGAGACGTGAAATAGCCCTCAGATCTTTCAGAAACTGCACACCCCAGTTGCGAGGGTCGTTCTCAGTCTTGTCCTTGATGTGGTCGCGGCGTTCACAGTCCCAGGCGCGCATACGGATGTCTTCGGGAATGATTTCTTTGCAGTCGGTGATTTCAAATGACTGTGCTAGAGCGGGAAGAATGCATTCCACCAAATCTTTGGTCTCGTTGTTTAGGGTGTCGAATCGGCCCATGGTGATTGTTGGCCCCTATGCACAATCGACTCGCGAAGCTTGAGCTTACTGGAGAGGATGTCTTGAGATTTTCGAATAAAGTATCCGGATCTGTCAATCAATCGATTAGTTAGCAAGAGATTTCGCGTCAGATGCAAATTGGTGGATTGGAGCGAAAAGCTCGCTCAGACAAATGAAAGCCGTGTCGCTGTTGAGCGCAAAAGCTTTGCGCCAAACAAGTTGTCTGAGCTTATTTTGAGTCACTGAAACGGAACAATATCAAGAGGCCAGATATTGGTGATACCGAAGCAGAAGGTGGGTGGTAGAAAGTCAGTGGAGAAGGTCAGAGACGGCTGCCTATATACTTTCCGGCGCGCTAGCAGTAAGAGACGCTCGCTTGATGCGGATCTCAAGTCGTAGCGAGGCATCCTAATGACGAGTAAGCGGTGTGGATATTGTAATTTGCGAGCTCGTGCGCGTGATGTGACGTGTTCGTTAAAGTGAGAAGTGAAAGATCAAAGACGCCGGCAGGTATCAGCGGCGTTATCGGCAAGAAAATCAGAGAGCAAATTTGTCACCGGCTAGATAGTGACTATGTAGCGATGACAAGGAGAGGGAAACTGTACGTAAAGAGACCACTGGTGAAGATATGTATCTGAGCAAGGATTTGTTTCATGACGTGGTGATAAGAGACCGGCTTGATCAAATCTGGCCGTCAAAGTTTCTTGATAGACCGCCCGAGCAAAGGCAACATGCATGTAGCAAGTCGCCTCATGTTTGAGCTTAGTAGGATGATACCTTCATACAAAATGAACGCACATCGTATAATCTGAGGAGAGTCCAATGACGAGCACACTACGGAATCCTTCATGATTCGGAAGAAAGATGCTGTGCACCTAGTGAAGAGCATCAGACAGGCTCTGTGCCTACATATGACCTTTGGTGTTCAGAAGAGCTAGGTGAATTGATGAAACTTTGATTGACGAGGATGATGTTCATCGAAGAAGTATTGACCACTCGGCACGATGTCTCTTTGGAGTCTGCGCTAGCGACACGCCTCAGTTTACAACCCTGCCATCTTACCAGCCACCCGTCCTTTCTTTAACTTGAACAACACGACATTCAGCCTAACCAATCCAACAAGAGAAATGGCTATGAAAAGGGAACGCTCTCCATCCCCAAAACCTACATCAGAAATATATCGCTCTTCAACAATACAAGAGCAGACTTCCACTTTCGCAGCTGCGTTCTCTCCCAATCTATCTGCCAAAGTCCTCCAGACACTCCCCGAATTCCGAACTGCAACCCACAAAATCGCAGCATGGCGGAAACCATCACGACAAAAGTCTTTGATGCCAGATTCCCGGACCTTATATGATCTTGGCCACGATGATGACGGCGAAAAGTGGGCTGGAGGTCGATTGAGCAATGTATTACGAGATACGCAGACCGAAGGCGTTGTGGTTGTTGCGCGCTGGTACGGTGGGCAAAACATCGGTCCCATACGATTCACGCACATTGAAAACTGTGCCAAAGAAGCCATTTGGAAATGGAAAAACGCTGATACCGAGATCAAGAAAGAGCAGGCTACCAAGAAACAACGAATTGATGAGGAAGCTAAGCGGAAAGAGCTTGTGAACAATTTACAGGAGAGAGATTACAACATCTTCGCACTGCGGAAGTTGTTGAGTCAAAAGAAGGCGAAGTTGCAGGACGAGGAGCCTGCACCACCGACGCCGCAGAAGATGCAGGACTACGGGAAGATGACTATGGATGCGCTGACGAGGGTGGACAAGGCGAGAGACGCAACAATCGCATTCATCTTAAAGCAGATCGATAAGGTTGACGAAGAGCTTAAGCTTGTGGAAGCAATAGAGGACGGCATAGAGGACGGCACGCAGGCGACGGAAGAAGAGGCAAAGGCTGAAGATGCAGAATCCTCAATGCCAAAGTGATACGATGGCGATGTTGGCGCTCAGACACTACATCTAAGTTGACATGACCGTCCTTCTGAAACCAATTACCGATCTCTCACAACGAGGTCAGGGCCTGAGATGCATCTGGAAAGCCATCAAGCTCCGGATCATATCTTGGAAAGGTTTCTTTGGTACCAACAGCAACCATCCGTGGCCTATCTATCACCATCCGGCAGATGCGTGGCGATCGCCCAAGGCTTACAGCGCTTCTGCCGATCGCATCGTCAACACGAGAGCAAGTGGGATGTGGAGAGATCCGTTTTCTCAGAAAGGAGTGTCAGGTTGTGGCTTTGGAGCTGGTAACACCTGCGCTGGTCGAAGCGATGTCGGTCAGCAAGACTCATCGGTAGCGACAGAAGTCACGTAAGGAGGCCCGGGATATCAGTGGATGCGACGGTGAGGACTATTGATTTCTCTCGTCTCATATAGTACATGCCTATAGATGCAGAGTACGCATACACACAGTACATTCAATATACACATAGCGCTCTTGCTGCTCGCATATGAAGGGCACCTGGGGAATCATCCAGCAGTCAAACCCGCCACCCCTCTCTATGGACAGTTCTTTAATGACTGATATTCCACCTTCCCTTCTTCAACCTCCTCATGATCATCTTCCTCCCCTTCTTCGTCCTAATCCTGCTCAGGAATCCATGTCTCCTCTTCCGCACCAGATGACTTGGGTTGTATGTATCGCGCGGACCGCATCGGATCTGTGTGCTGCCCAGACCAGGATGTGAGGAGATTTTCGAGGCGAGGTCTAGTGTCTCGGAAGATGAGGGTACGAAAGATGTGCTGCCGGCTGCTGGCAGGGTGTTTGTGCGGGGCAGTATGGGACGCCGGGGTGTGAGGAGAGATATTTGGCGGGTTGATGAGGGTGTAGATGTTCTGGTAGGCTGGTCAGATGCGTGGCGGGAGGGTCTTGGGGAGAGATATGTACTGGTATGTTGGTGCTATGCGTGGTCTGAGGAGTGTAGATGCGCTGGTTGCAGGGCGCGCGACGACCCTCAAGCACCGGAAGGCGTTCATGATTTGTGTTGGAGCCGCAATTGCCTCCTCTCTGCCTGTTGTACCGTTCTCGTGGTGGCGTGGCCCCGATATGCAGATGCGAGCGTGCAGTTTGGCATGCCCGTCGCGAAGTCCGCAAAGCTAACACAATCGCTGCCGTCCGTGCGCAAAAAGTTGGCCGGCTTGCTACCAAAAACCTGAGCAACTTCTCTATCACGTTCTACAACATTAACTACCCACCAACTTTTTCTACCTCCCACCAAAAGCGCCAAGATGATTCTCGAGGCTCCTCCTCCGCGACGCCACATCTCCGGCGCGCCCATCTCCCTCAGCGACGCATCCGGCATCCTCGAAAAGTACCTCTCAAATTCCGAAACTCACCCACACCTTCACCCCGATGCGACCATCACACCAGAAGGCGTCGCATTCAATGCGCAAGGCGGTGCCATGGGCAATCCAATCATGCACCACTTACGCCGTGTAGCAGCGGGTTTGCGCGGCGAATACCAAGAGCCAGAGCGAGCGCTAGACATGGAAGAGGACCAGCAGGATTTCACTGCCGATGTCACTGTCAGTGGTGGAAAGGGCAAGACAGGCAAGAAAGCGGCGGGTGCCGACGATGATTGGCAAGATCTAGCTTCATACCAAGCGGAGCAAGGCGATATCGAAATCGGCGAGATCGGCGACAGGACGAATGTTGTACAAGAGGGTGGTGAAGAGCCCCAAGTACAGTCTCCCAAGAACAAGGACAGGAAGAAGAGGAAGAACGAGCAGGCAGAGGAGCCGGTCGTAGCGGATGGTCAGATAGACAAGGAGGCGCGGAAGAAGGCGAAGAAAGAGCGAGATTAGCAGAGGAAGAAAGAAAAGGCCGCGAAGAGCAAGGCGACCGAGTAGGGCTATCAGGCATCACGACCTCGAGAGATACACCTGCGCCCAAGCTGCAACGAGATCGAAAGATATACTGGCCATTGCATTCGAGCTGTATTCTACGAATTTCTTATCGCATTCGCGACTGCGCGGTCATGTACCCATGACCTTTTATACCCGATATTGTACAAATCCTGATCGAGATCCACGCCTACAGTTCCCGATCCGCTGCCTTTACAGGCTTCTCGTCGTCCTTCGCCTTATCCTCTGAGACCTTCTTGTCGCCAGTCCAGTTCATAGCCTTGAGGCGCTCTGTCAGAATCGGGTGCGAGTGGTGGAAGCTCGAGTAGAACCAGTCAGCATCCATGCTTGACAGGTTCTGGATTTGAAGCTTGATCAACGAGGCACCGAGTTCGCGCGCATACCCGAGCTTCACGGCGAAAGCATCTGCTGAATGTTAGCGTTGCTCGAGATATTGGATTGGATTAGTGTACGTACCGGCTTCGTACTCCATGCTGCGAGTCCAGATGTTGAGGAGTAGCTTGATAATGGAGTCGGTGGGCGACAAGATCTCGTTGAAGAGCATGAAGCCAACAATGGTCGGATGTTCCCTGTGGAAGCCAAAGTCGGCATACAGCGAGCGGTTGTCGATGAAGACGGAGAACAGGGCGAACATGTAGAATAGATGCGCCTGGCTAATGAAAAGAAGTCGCGAGGTGTGGTTCATCTTCCAGTGTCCGAGTTCGTGTGCCAGGACGGCTTCGACTTCCTTCTCTGTGCTCTTCTCCAGCAATGTGTCGTAAATAACAATCTTCTTCTTACCGATCCAGGGGAGTCCAGTGAAGTATGCGTTGCTGTGGGCGCTGCGCTTACTGCCATCGATAACCTGTAGCTCTGAGAGAGGGAAGTTGAGCTTAGACGCAAGAGCCTCGACAGACTCCTTGAGCTTGCCTGGCTTGAGCGGCTCCAGCTTGTTGAATAGTGGCACAATGAGGATCGGGTAGATGGTCATGCCTGTAATCTGAACGACCAGCATAAACATCCATAGATAGTAGAAGAAACCCTGGCCAGTCGCCTTGATGATGGACAGGAAAGCGCTTCCAATGGGAACACCGAAAGCGATCGCAAGAGCCTGGCCCTTGACCATGTCCGTGAGCCAGAGCTTGACCGTCATCTTGTTGAAGCCGAACTTCTCCTCCAGCACGAAGCTGTGGTAGTAGGAGAATCCGAGACCAGCAATCAGATCGATCCATCCCAGCATGTACATGAACAGGAGCGACTGTGTGATTTCACCAGAGAAGCGGACGGGCGCATAGCGGGCGACGACGGTGCCGGCGGCGGCCCAGACGAGCGGGTATACATTGAAGTAGAGCGTGGCGAGAGACTTGACTTGGTTGAAGAGACCGGAGATGAAGCTGAACTTGGCTTTGGCGCGACCATATTCCTGTCATGCTATGTTAGTGCTGTTCAACACAGCGGGGTTGCAGTCAATGTGCGCGTACCTGAGACTTGTCGAATGTGTCCCTCTCAATTTCTTTGTCAAGGGCCTTGGGGACAGTGGTTCGTTGGAGGACACGGTATTGACGGAAGAGAAGCCAGTTTTCGAGAGCGAATTCTGCGAGGGAGAAGCCAACGACGAGGCGCTTCCATGGGAAGAGCGGCCGGTCGAGCCAGCGGGCCAGGCGCTAGATGGTGTTAATACTGTATAACTTGGAAGCGGCTATTCGTAAGCTTGCCTGGAGGAATGCCTGGATCATGGCGATGATGGTGAGTGTCGGTTGTGAAGCGGAGGCACGCGAGGACAGATCGTAACCTTCAATGTTCCGCGCGTCAGCGCTAACGCAGGGTTCCGCAACGGTACGTCACAGCCCTGGACGGCTTTGTTCATCTCGTTCTCTTTCTTCTTTCATGCTGTTCATTCTGACTTGAAATCGTCTAACAGTATAGTCGACTATTAGTACAACTTCTAGGAAACTGGAAATCCCTTTTTTGAGTGTTCTACAACGCAGAGCGACTTGCACCGTACACAAGGGAAAAACCGAACATGTATAGAGATAACAAGCTTTACCTTGCAGCTTACAATAGCTTCTAACAAAAAAACTTGTAAAGATTAACAGTATTGTAGACTTCTAGATTCCTAATTAATATCTACATTAATTTTAATACGCCTTATTGTAGTAGGAAGAAGTACCCTGCTCTAAGAAGAAGTTGAGTTTCTCTCTTTGATGTAGTGTTGCTTACTTCGTCTACCACTACCTCCGTCTCACTCTGACGCGTACCACAGGAGTATACTATACAGAATCTATGAACATAGTTGAACATGCATTCCGTAATGGTGGACCTGAGTATTGGCACGCGTTTGCTCGACACGTTGCTTGGGACGAGGAAGCCAACTTGGTTCTGACATGGCCAGCACAGCCAAGATAGACATGTGCGAACCTACCGTACTGAAACGCGCATATATAGCAAAGCAAAAGCAGGAGTATACTTTTTGGGTATATACTTACTTCTCAGACTTGGAAGATCGAAGAGAGAAGCTAACCAAGCCGAAGCCGGGAGTGAGTCTCACCGCGCTTGCCTTGCAGATACGTGGTGAGAGAAAGGTGGAAGGCGTGATCGATCGCACCTCCACTACGCTCTGAGCGAGCAACTGAACAGGTAACCAATTCTCTGTTTCTTCACTGTGATCACATGCAATTTTATCCGCACACCAACACTTACCTCGCCCGCGCGACGACTACACTGTCCAACCTAGCTCGTCATGAAACATCAGAGCAGTGTCTTTTGCGCCAAACGACTATCCAAAGCATTCACATCGACACTGACGAGCGTCTTCGAGAAGGTCGATACGCGGAAAGACGCACCAACAACAGCCCATCATCTCTTCTTGCCAACAGCCGAACGTAATTCAAAGGACAGCTCTCGACCCGGAAGCGTACAAGACGACTTCAACTCAGCCATCCCAGCTGAAGCACCCACTGAGCATTACATAATACAAGAAAACAAGTATCCTGCTTTACGAGCTTTGCGAAGCGACGCCGAGATTGGAGATGGGATATGGAGATGCTGTCACTGCCGCCACGAGAACATCATCACGCATTACAAGGGAGCGTTCCCTTTCAAGCACCTGGTCTGCAAACGTTGCGGCGAGATACTCTGTTCACAATGTCATTCCTCGGAGATTCTTTCCCCTCTACCGTACGGCATGATTCAAGCACCACCACCTGGCCTAGACCGCGAAGTCCGCTATCTCCACGTCTGTACTATTTGCGGGTTGAGCCACCGCGCGGAGATGGAAGGTACGACGCTCGACTTCTATAGCGTCAACTGTGCAGGCTGTGGAAACAGTTCATATGGAGACTGGCCACGTTATCATATTGGAAGCAACGAGCCATACAGAAGAGATCCAGATGCGAGCTTTGTCAAGCTCGTCGATGCAAGAGCTGATGATGCAGTGAGGACAGCTTTCCGCTGGATCATTGCAAACGATGATAGACCGTCTTCGAGACTGAGTTGTAAGAATCTGGAAGATATCTGAGACTGTTCAAAAGGGACTGCAGAAAGTGAAGTTACAATACCGCATCAGTGATTGTGTTTGTGATACTCTGTTCTCAAGTTGAATAAGGGAGTGAGAGATTGGCCGGCACGCAAAAGGGCGTTAGCTCTACGTATAGATAGTCTCTCAAGTTGTCTTACTGCTGTCTTACTGTTGTCATCTTGCTTCTCGGCGTCCATTCATTAAGGGGATCTATCTCCCACATCGCTCACAACGTCAGTGATATGGCTTCTAGCAGTGAGATTGTTTTCAGATTTTCGTTGTTTGTGACTAGACATTTTCGTCGCCATGGTGAAGCCCAAAACAACAACATGAGCAAACGTCCGTGTGAAGGTTATCGTCTGGACCAGCACCTCCATCCGCTCAACCTTTATCAGGTAAACTCACACGATGCCTAAACAGCGGATGACACTCGCGAGAGCTGACGATTACCTGAAAACTCGACACCGCTTGAAGAGCACAACTAAAGACTATCTCACCCTCTTGAAATCCGTCCCAGTATGCTCACCCGACCTCCGCATCCACCGCGCTTGCTACGTACTTCGAGAGGTCTTTTACGCCTATCGCGAAGCTACATGGAGCAGATTCTGTGCCAGCATTTCCCTTGCCACACGACATAACGGTCTCACTATTATCACTGAGGACCCAATGAAGTCAGGGCGGAAGAACGGCTGGTTCGCTGACTTTCCCAATCAACACTTCATCGGCAACCCTACAGCCAAGGAGAAGGTGCTGGCGATCACTCCGTGTTACGATGTCGGCTTCCTGAAGAAGCTCGTAGAACAGCTGTTCGCAGGTACGTCTACAATATCCGCCAATGATGAGAAAAAACACCGTTGACCATAAAAATAACAGGCTTCGACGTACACATCGAAGAAGTCAACGTTCGCCTCAAGACCCTTACTGAGTGCACCATCGTGACTGTAGAACCCGGGGAAGAACTTGACTTGGGATATTACCAAACCCACTGGTGCATGCGCATCACTGTGCGTTCCACGGGGAAACAGACCGCTCTCGACATCACTGGTGCGCAGTACGGTATTTCCCATGGTGACATGCCGTGGGAGTCGCAACTGGAATTTTTTGTCGAAAAGATCCAAGCCGTGAAGCCACTGGGCACGCTTGAGAAGTTTGCAGAAGAGATGGCAACGTTCAAGGGTACTGAAGGCCTCGAGTACCAAGTTGCAGCAGGCGCGATCAAGGCATGGCATCAGACAGTCGATTCTGCGATGGAGCGAAAGGGCTTGACATGGGCGGACGTATTACAGAAACCAGAAGCAGACTATGAGAGACATACAAGGAAGATTATCAGCGTAGGCACAAAGGCTATGCAGAAGTATGCTGCGGTTACAAAGTTGACCAAGAGGAGAAACAGGGCGGAGAGGTATGAGGAGAGGCACGAAGACCAATTGGAGGGAGAGACTGA